GGGCTGTTTGTATAATTTTCAAACTTTGTACCTGTTATCTGTCAAGATTCTGTGGAAATGATGCCGGCTGGTTGCTTTGAGATGATCTGCAATGCTTCTAACACTGATAAGATAGACTTGTGATGGGAATGCCCTTCCTTGTTAACCATTTCCAATCTCTATGCACTTTCCCTCCTACATGGAACATGGCAACCAGGAAAGGTGCTTCCTGACTCAGAGGGACAAAACTACTCAATGTAGAAAACTGATTATTGGTCAGTGATGCTTTCAGAGAAAGATCTTGATCAAAGGGGAAAACGTAGAAAGAATGAAGGAAGCCTTATAAAACTGGAGTCAGGAAACCTTGTGGGGGAAGCTCTCCTGCATTCACTGCACCTTGCAGACTCAGACAAGGAAGCCTACGTTGTTACTCCAGCAGGAGGAAAATTTTCTCCTTACCCAGCAACAGCCCAGCCAATGAGAAGCCACCACCACCCTCTACTCCTGCTCTACTCCAATGGACTTTTGCTTACAACTGCCTCTCTCAACTTCCTTTTTCTCTATACAATAACATTCACCTTTGTTCTCCAGACTTGCCTGTGATTCACCATAGTTTGCAAGCCCCAAATTGCAATTCCTCTGCCATTCCCAAATAAACAGGTTTTTGGCTGGTAAAATAGCTATTTTGTTTTTAAGGCTGACACTGGGAAATGGGCTCACTGCGGGTGGGCAACGACTAGGCCCGGATTACTGGGTCACAGCCAGGCCCTGTACAACTGTCTCAGGGAGACTGGTGGGGTGTCGATCAGAACACCCCAAAAGCAAGCCAAGCCTAGGAGCAGTTGCAGGGATACGTTCTCGGCTCCCTCCCACAGCGGGAAGTCCCTGTGTGGCAAGAAACAGATATGCCCTGCTCGGAAGACCTGAGCCCTGGCGAGGAGGGCCAGCTCTACCTGCTCCGAGAATCCTGTCTCCTAGGGGTTGTCACTGTGCCCTCCCCAGAAAGGAAGGGTGCCCTAGGCTCCAGGCTGGGGAAGTCTTCCACGGCACTTGTCTCTTTTCTTGCCTTACCCCCAGTGCCTACAGCCCCAGGAGGCACTCAGTGAGAGCTTGTTGACTAGGCTCCGCCCGCGCTGGGCCCGCCCTCGTCCTGCTGCGGGGCCTGCGGCAGTGGCAGTGGTGGCACAGTTACAGGTACCGCTTCATACCTTGGGTCATGCTGAACCTAAATCACAACCCCAGGACCCTCCGGTATGTTCCAGAGGAATTTAAAGACAAAGTTATCTCAAATGAAGATGTCCTAGGAACATTACTGCATGTTTTCCAGACCCTATTCTTAAATGATTTCAATCCCCAGTTGGGTATCTTGACTGTGCTTCCAGAATCCGTTCAATCGAAATATCAAGACCTGCTGTCAGTTCAACATGCAAGGGTGAACGTGCTTGAACACAGACATCATCGGCAAAATATCTTTAAACCAGAAGAAATTCTTTATAAGACATTGGGTTTCAGTGTTGCCCAAGCAACTAACTAGCTCATTGGTTTCTGCTGGAAAAGGTGTCTTTATTACTAAAGGACTGGCACCAAAAGGCGCCGCTGTATCCATGTGCCCTGGTAATGGCACAACTAGTACTTTGCCAAGACTTCCTTATATACTGATGAACATAAGTTCAAAAAAAAAATAACTAGCCCTGTAATCCTTACCGTAAGAATTTGCATTGGAAATTCAGATTTCCAGATTTTTAAATCCCAGTTTGGAAATTAACTGCTTGTAATTATGTTAGCAAGTATCCATGCATATGTGTTGGTATATATGCACTCTCCTTTTAAGGAAATTTTTCTACTCAATGTTTAAATTTAGGAGAATATGGTATGACCTGCTTTGATCAGACTTGTTACTTAGAAAGCACTAGAGAATAAGTCAGTTTGGTTTAGATAAATGTCAAACTGATAGGGGTTAAAACATGAAAGATAGAACTTAAACTAAAAAAATCACTGAATGGCCCTAGCTGGTTTGCTCAGTGGATAGAGCGTCGGCCTGGGGACTGAAGGGTCCCGGGTTTCATTCCAGTCAAGGGTACATGCCAGGGTTGTGAGCTCCATCCCCCGTAGGTGGCATGCAGGAGGCAGCCTATCAATGATTCTTTCTCATCATTGATGTTTCTATCTCTCTCTCTCCCCCTTCCTCTCTGAAATCAATAAAAATATATTTAAAATAAACAAATCACTAGGGGGAAAAAAGAAAAAAGAAAGCTTGTTGACTAAATGTAGGCATCTAATTGGCTTCCCCAGCATCCATACCCAACTCTCTCTAGTTCACATCTGACACTCCGCTCCTCCGCCTCTGGGCAACGGGGCAGCCGTGTGTGTGTGTGTGTGTGTGTGTGTGTGTGTGTGTGTGTGTGTGTCTCCATGTGAATGCAACACCCTGAAGTATTTCACAGGTGCCCCAAAGGCCAGCTTCCATAGCGCCAGCCCACATGCTCACCACACTGGTTCCCCTTGGCCACTTCCCCCAGGGCAAGCAAAGCCCCTGGCCCAAGACTTCCAGGGCTCCAGCCTACCTGGTGTTGCTCAGTAGCTGAGCATTGACCTATAAATCAGGAGGTCAGGGTTTGACTCCCGGTCAGGGCACATGCCCAGGTTGCAGGCTTGATCCCTAGTGAGGGGTGTGCAGGAGACAGCCAATCAATGATTCTCTCTCATCATTGATGTTTCTATTTCTCTCTCCCTTCCTCTCTGAAATCAATAAAAATATATATTTTTTAAAAAACAAAACTTCCAGGGCTCCAGTGGCCCTGCTAGCCACACCCACTCCTGCCCTTTGTGCACCTATGAAAGAGGGTGGTGCATGGAGGCTCAGGCAAGGCGGGGGGCGGGGGGCGGGGGGGTAGCTGCCAGTGTCCACCTGGGGTTCACTCAGAGCAGCTGCCCATTATTGTGGACAGGCGGTCAGAGGCAGTCCAGTCACCAGTGGATGTGGCCAGGGCCTCCTTCTGAGCAGCTGTGGGGAGCTGGCCCAAGAACAGGGCAGGCCCAAGGGTAAGGGTGCAGCTCAGCCTTGTGGGGGAGCCCTCCTTGGGGCCTGCCCAAGACAGGGAGGAGGAGGCCGGTCAGGGTCCCTCACTTCTTCCTCCTCTGGTCTTTGCTAAGATACTCTCTGATTGGGGGGCGGTGGGCGGGGGGGAGTCTGTAGGATGCTAGGTCTGTAGTCCATGGGAGAGGTCCAGGCTGGAGACCAAAATGCAGGGGTCATCAGCACATTGATGGTATTTAAAGCCGTGAGCTTGGGGAGGTGAGGATGGTAAGAAGCTCAGGGGGGAGGAAGGGCAGAGGTGGGAGGAAGCCCCATGAGGCCTGCCTTCCAGGGGGGCTGTACCCCCTCCCACCCTGTAACTCCCATCAGCCCCACAGAGTAAAAGGACAACCCCCCTCCCATGCATACACAGCTTCCAGGCAGCACTCCATGGAAAGTTCGGTGCCCCCTGAATCTGGAGAAAGGGGTCCTGTGTATGGACACAGCCTTTTTTTTTTTTAAATATATTTTATTGATTTTTTACAGAGAGGAAGGGAGAGAGATAGAGAGTTAGAAACATCGATGAGAGAGAAACATTGATCAGCTGCCTCCTGCACATCTCCCACTGGGGATGTGCCCACAACCCAGGTACATGCCCTTGACCGGAATTGAACCTGGGACCCCTCAGTCCGCAGGCCGACGCTCTATCCACTGAGCCAAACCGGTTTCGGCTTGACACAGCCTTGTCCTTCTCCCAGACTCGGTTCCTGTCTGAAACCAGGCAGGACCCCTGGCTCCCACCCGCACCCCTGGCTTCTTTCCCAGCAGCGAAGGCAGGTGAGGATGGGAAGCTATTTCTAGGGTTCAGCCCAGGCATCTCCCCAGACTTAAGTTTTTCTTTCCTGGGAATTATGGGGCTGGGGTGAGCAGAGTGAGCTCACTCAGGGGTCAGAAGCCCCCGCACTCCGGGCTTCAGCCCCCGCACGTCAGCCTCAGGGCTGCCAGCTTTGTCCAAAATCGCTGACCCTTTATGTGGCTGAAGTGGGAGGAAGGCAGGGGCAACAACAATGGGGCCAACCCTGGCCGGTTTGGCTCAGTGGATGGAGCATCCACCTGTGGACTGAAGGGTCCCGGGTTCGATTCCAGTCAAAGGCACATGCCTGGGTTTCGTGGGGGGCGTGCAAGAGGTAGCCGATCAATGATTCTCTCTCATTGATGTTTCTATCTCCCCCTCTTCCTTCCTCTCTGAAATCAATAAAAATATTTTTAAAAACAATCAAACAAAAAATTGGTTTAAGAAATGAGCATGTGAATATCACATCAGTGAACAAGTGAACAAATAAAATAACTTTATTTTTAAAAATGGGGCCAGTGGTGGGAAATGCTCCTTAGAGGAACAGCAACAAGGACCCCACAAGGATCCCATGGGCTCTACACCACACCAAGCTGCTCAGCCAGTGGCAGGGGCCTGAGGGCAGGAGGGAGCCAGGGACTGCTGGGCTCCCAGGGAACCACAGAGAGAAGTAGGGACCCAAAGTGCAGCCCCCTTCCTCCCAGGCTGGGAGTGATGTTGACCTTCCTGCCCCAAGGGACGCAACCTGCCTCAGACCTTGGGAGTGAGGCCCCCTTTTCCACTCCTGCTCTGAGCCTTGGGAGCTGACAGTGGGGGCAGGAGCAGCAGAGCCGAAGCTCATGTGGGCGGGGAGTCCATGCACGCCCCACCCAGCAGCACCCCCCCTCCAGGGCATGGGCATGGGCATGGGCCACTGCCCCACTCACTAGCTGGACGGCCTCAGACAAGGCACCACTGCCCTGTCTCCCGCAGGGTAAAGGAGGCTGGGCTCAGGTACCAGACACGCGACCTGCATTGACTACTGAAGTCCGTATTCTTATTGGTTATTGCCCCTCCCTCAGAAGCAGTTGGTACTGTGATGCCCTTTGGAGACCGCCCCCTCCCCACCCACCCTCCTCATGGCCTCTCTCCAGAGCCCTCCTCCCATTCCCCTTAGTCTGGCACCACCTCAAAGGGGCAGAGGTGGTTGGTACGGGCAGCTGCGTAGGCACGGTTGAATTCCTGGAAGCGGGGTGCACAGCCAAGCCAGGCCTCACCAAAATGGCTCTAGCCCACGAAGAGGAAAGTGCCGGGGTGGACACCACAGCGCAGTGGGGTGCGAATGGAGGCCTGTACCGGGCCCCCAGAGCCCCCCGCCTGGAACAGCGGCAGTGTCTGGCGGACATGGACAGCTGCCACAGTGACAACAGACTGCAGCTCTGTGTCGTGGGCAATCCTGTGCAGGGTCCCCTGGATCACTGCAGGGAGACACACTGGCCAGTGGCTCGCATAGAGGGGAGGGGAGGCCCCCGGCTCCCCCTCTGCCCCATTGGCGTGGCAGGGCCTCTCACCAAAGTCGCCAGTGCACAAGGCCAGGAGGACTCGGTGTCATTACAGGGCCTGCAGGCACCTGCATGCAGGGAAGATGGTCAGTGTAGGTCCTGCCCTCTTCTGGACCCCCCAAGGCCTCCTCCCACCAACCAGAGGCAGGAGGGCGACAGCAAATGACCAGACACCTGCTCAGGGCCATGAGGCAGTTGGGATCCCAGGGAGCACATATGTACAAACCCTGAAGACCCCCAACCCTGAAGACCTCCTGCATTCGGGGTGATGCACCCACACATGTGCATAGACATGGGCCTGAGGGTTGTGCCTAGCACACCCCACCTGAAGCTGTGTCCTGATTCATGCTCTGGCTCCCGGATCTTGCATATTCAGTAACCCCTGTGGGCTCCCAGAGCTGTGTCCAGGGCCCAGTCACCAGCCTGGAAGGTGGGGGGAGAGGGGGTCAGCAGTAGGATATGATGGGCATGGAACCAGGAAGCAGAACAGAGACACTCCACCCGCTATGGGGTCAGGCTCTAAGCTCCAGGGGAGCAAAGAGCTGGGCCTGCTGTCCTGCAGGGAGGTGGGGCATCTCCATGGTGACAGGCTCACACTGGACTATTGTTATATTGGGATGGAGGAGGGGAGGGAGGTCGCCGCTGGGCCAGAATGTCCTGAACAGCTTTGGCCTGAGGTTTTGATCCTCCCCGCGACCATCAACCCAACCCCTCA